CTAACCGGGGCCTTTGCATAGCACTGTGGTAGCATCTGAGAGAGCGAGCCCTGGTGGCGCTATGGTTAAGCACTTGGCTGCTAACCTAAAGTTGGTGGTTCAAACCCACTAGTGTTTCTGCAGGAGAAAGACGGGGCAGTCAGCTCCCATAAAGATTATCGCCAGGAAAAGCATATGGGGCAGTTCTACCTGTCACATGGAGTTGCTATGAGTCAGAATCGACTGGACGGCAACAACAACAAGCATTTGACAGAAAGAGCCGAGATAATTTCAGAGGGGATAATGGATCTACAGGTCCTGGCAAAGTGGTAGAAGGCCGTAACTTTCAACTCAGAAAAGGAGAAAAGCATTGAATTTGAATAAAGAAGATAAGGGGGGTGGAGGAATGCCTCTGAGTGTGCTTATTATCCATACTAAAGCACAAGTGTGCAAGCACCTCACTGAAAATGTGCAAGCACCTCACTGAAACAGTGGACTAGAATTCGCCTGAAAAACTTCCCGTGACGCAGGAAGGATAAATAAAAATTAATACAACCAAAAACCAAACCAAACCCGCTGCCATCGAATTGATTCTGCCTCATAGCAACCCTACGGAACACAGCAGAACTGCCACACAGGGTTTCCAAGGAACGACTGGTGGATTCCAACTGCCGACCTTTTGGTTAGCAGCCGAGCTTTTACCCACTGTGCCACCAGGGCTCCAATTAATACAACAGTCAACATTATTCTTAACTTTTAAAGAATAAAATATCAGTGATATTATTATTATTTTGGTAGCAAATCTCCATATAAGCCTTTTGATGGGTATTCTCCTGACCCAAGTGTCCAACCCAATTTTTTCCACAGGAGAGTACCTAGAAAGAAATAACTTCACAAACACTGCTCACAGTTCTGCTTAAGAGCCCTTTGGAACTATAAATCATTCTTAAATTACCCCTCAAACTTTTATTTCCCGTGCTTTCTTCCCCCTTGGTTTTTTTTAGCTGCCATTCTAAGGATTTAAATTCTCTGAACAGCTCTATTCAACCCTTTCCGAGGGCAATAACTTCCTTTTGAGTTGCAGTTTGGATACAGTACACAAAAAATCATCTGAATCCTGTTAATTTATTGGAAAGATGAGCTCATGGCTACCGTGACTGCATTAATGCACTCCAGACCACCGTCTGGATTTTAAATTGCAGAATCTCATCACTCTCCCCTGCTTAGCATGTCCATTTCCAAAAACCCGAAGGCTTTTTCCCTTTCTCATATGAACAATCAGGATGTCCCATCTTATAATTGGGCTATAAATAACTTCCTACCAAAGCCATGTTGTTCAACTGTGCCTATTTTTTTATATTAACTATGGTTAGTCTTCATTATAATCCTATCTTTCGAGGTACACTTTCATACAAAAGCAAAAAAAAATAATAATTGTATTTAAATGTTAAGTAACGAATGTTGCATTACTCGCTGATTAAGCCCGAACAACTTCAGTTGCATAATCACGTAAAGTCAGTTCCATTTACAGGCAAGAAAAATGAGTTAAGAGTTTGATGTACCACCAAGAGAGCACAACTAGGTGAAATGTAAACTGTCTGTGCACACATCACAGCGGAGACAAGTCTGTGCAGTCTCCCATCAGCTGACCCTGCTCCCATGACAAGCATTACACCAAAACCAAAACCAAACTCACTGCCATTGAGTCAATTCTGACTCACAGCAACCCTACAGGTCAGAGGAGAACTGCCCCATAGGGTTTCCAAGGCTGTAATCTTTAGGGAAGCTGACTGCCACATCTTTTTCCTGTGGAGTGGCTGGTGGGTTCAAAGGGCTGACCTTTTGGTTAGCAGCTGAGTGTTTAACCACTGCACCACCAGGGCTCCTGTGATAAGCACTTGTTGTTGTTGTTCTTATTGTTATGTGCTGTCTAGTCAGTTCCGACTTACAGCAACCCTACAGAATAGAGTAGAACCGTCTCATGGGGTTTCCAAGGAGCGGCTGGTGGATTCAAACCGCCAATCTTTTAGTTAGCAGCCGAGCACTTAACCACTGCACCACCGGGGCTCCTGTGATAAGCATTAGACTGTACTTAAAAAAAAAAAGTTGCCATCGAACTGATCCCAATTCATGGCGACCCCATGTGTTTCAGAGTAGAACTGCACTCCATAGGGTTTTCAATGGCTATAACCTTATAGAAGTAGATTGCCAGGCTTTTCTTCTGCAGCACTGCTGAGTGGATTCAAACCATCAACCTTTTGGTTAGTAGTTGAGTGCAAACCATTTGCACAAACCAGGGAGCACCTGCTATATGCTAGCTACTCTACTGGGTACAGCAGCCCCTGAGGTGTCTCCTCCATTAGCATGTAAGCTCCCCGAGGACAGAGACTGCAGATTCCACTGTTATAGCTCCTCCACCTAAAACAGAACCCAGCATGCAGCTGGTGCTCAGCAAATATTTGTTGAATGAATCCTCATATCATCCTTCTGGCAAAGAACAGAAAGAAAATTTCAGCTCAGATCTACACATTCTCAGTATCTTGCAGACCAATGACTATTGAGTCATCCACATTTTTACTTTAAAAGAAATACATACCTATATTTTGTATATAATCAAAAATACAATTAAAAACCAAAAGACAAGAAAAGATGAGTGAAGAAACATCAGTGCTTCGTTGGTGATAAGAAATGGACTTTCATGATACAGAACTGTCAAATTATGCAATGAAAACAAACTCACTTTCATTTTTCCCCAACGTTTTTCTTCTCCCATTTATCAATCATTAAAGGCTTTCCTGAAGAGAGCTTTGGCCCTTTATTCTTCTCCCTAATATTGAAGCTAATTTGTAACACTGAATTATGTGACATTTCTTTTATTGGCAACTGTCTGAAATAACAAACACGAAGTTTTCTTTGTTTCGTAAAAATGATGGTGAAAAGACTGTAGCGACTAAAACAAATGGGAACTCATCAGGTTGGGGCTTCTGCTTCCTCAATACCAGGCGGACACTCTTTGTTAGCAGCAAAGATGCTATCGACGCAGAGTAACAGGCAGTCAAGGCAGAAATCACGGCCGGCGCTTCCCTTGAGATTAGGACAAAGTTCCCTCTGCCAAGCCAACTAATCAGAAAACACAAATACCAAAAGGTCCCTCACCCTTGCTGTGATTACTTGAGGCAGAGCCAGAAGGTCAGCAGCTCTATATATTCATTTGCTGACCCCTCTTGAGTTCGGTATATTGGGTCAAAATGGACTACAGTTTACTTTAAATCTAGAGCAACTGATTTATAGCTTTACTTCGTTTCACAGATAAATCCATAGGATGAACTCACTACTTGAAAAGGTTAAGAATTACAGTATTCCTTTCAAAAATGCCCGGTTAATTTTAAAATGTAAAGAGGTCGGCACGTTGCTTCAAAAAAGGTTAAAGGCTTACTGATTCTGGAACTGAACTCTTGGAGGCTGCAAGTCATGTATCAACAGTGTTCTCAGAAGAAGAATGTATGTACCTGCTTACAGAATCCTAATATAAGGTCTAGAGGACAAGAAATAAAGCTGGTGAGAATGCTGTAGGTCCAGCTATTCCTGGGCAGGGTCCCCCCAGGAGCCCCCCCCCAATCCATCCAGCAGCACAGGGCAGTGGGTTTCAGACTATAGTCTGCGCAGCCCTCAGGCCCCACAGAGGTGCTGCAGGGGCAGCCACCGAGGGGCCAGGAGGGGAGCAAGCACGAGGCTCTGGACCTCTCACCCCAACACCAAACAACAGCAGAGCGCCACCTCTCTCATTGTTTGGTAGGTGGGGGTTCTGCAAAATATCTCATTTAAAAATAAATAAATAAATAGCAGGTTTCTGCTGTTTAAAAAAAAAGTCTGAAAACTAGCAGCAAAGGCTTTAGAGTCAGGGAGAGCAGAGTTTGAATTCTAAATTTGTTGAATGAGGATCAGACGTAATCATGCCTGGCCAATAATCAGGGCCCAGTAAGTGGTGGCAATCATCACAATTTATCAGAGAGTAGTACTAAAGGAATTAAAGCAGTGGCCTTCAAACTACACAGCCAAGAATTACACGGACTATGATGGGGCAATACATTTGATAGTTATGTGATAGTTCATCTCTTGGCCAAATATAAAAATACCTCTAAACCCATTTTACCCCATAAAGCACTAAGATAACCAGGACACAAGAGCTTTGAAGGACCTAGAAAAGTGGGATGGGGGGTGGGGGGGCAGGAGACAAAGAGAGAAAGGAATAGGAGGAGGAGAAAGGGAGGGGGGAGAGAGGAAGAAAGAAAAAGCTCCAAAATATAAAAAGTAAATTTTAAAATAAAAATGAACACACGTTTGTTATTACTAAAGATGATACTCAAGAATTTTGGTATTCACAACCATTTCATTATATTTTTAAATAATTTGTAAGTTAGCTTTTCTTTTCTTCACAAAAATTACCAAGAACGTACCATAATTACAGAGAAATCACAACCAACTTCAAATTAGGTGAGATGCTCAAAGTCAAATTTTCCAAAGCAAAAAACTAAAATAGTTTCAAATCACTGCTACGTGATTTTATGTGTATGTATGTATGTATATGTGTGTTTTTGTATATATATGCATATAAACCCACCCAAATATGCACATATACACATATAAGATGTGTGACGTGTACATTAAGTATACTTGACATCACGTGATGGAAGCCACCTCTCACAGTAGACGCCTAGGGTCTTAAAACAGCTCTGCTCTTTGGTTTGCATTCCTTCCAGTCTTCCTCAAGCTGCAGCCATCTTTCACTGTGTCATCTCACACAACAGGGAGAAGCAATGGCAGAAGCCAGAGGGTAAGAGACAGGGCAGGGAAGAAGCAATCCCAGAATGCCACTGTGACCCTCTTCAGCTAGACGTTCCAGGCAGCGAAAGTCCCTGACAAGAGTGGTTATGAATTACTCACTAAGGACTGCTGGCCACCACTCCAAACCAGCCCTCTGCTACAGGGGCTACAATCACCATACAAGAAACGATGCTTACCTGCTTTATCTTATTTCGGGAGTTGGTGATGCGCTCTGTGATGCTCTGGTATGTGCGGATGGCTGTTGTCAGTTCTGTGTAGTGCTGCACAATCAATTCATCCAGGTCACGGTCACATTTCTCATAGGCTTCTTCAAGGCGACCTTTCTCATTTTCTCTGTCTTCAACATCATCACTGGCAGACAGAGTCCTGGTAAAGGCAGAGAACAATATCAAGCTGAGTAAAACTTAAGAGAAAAAAACAAAAGAAAGATGAGTTAGCCAATATGCAAGAGTATTCCTCTTACTAACCAGGAAATGAAACAGGTCACTAACAAAAGGAACGAACCCACCTTCTCAGAGGATTCCAACAGCCCAACTGAGGAACCCACCTTCTCACAGAATTCCAACAGCCCAACTGAGGAACCCACCTTCACACAGAATTCCAACAGCCCAACT